GGGTGCCCCCAGCACGGGCGGCAGGCTGCCGTCAAGGGAGAGGAGTGCCTGGCTGGTGGAGGAGGGCCAGGGCGGGCGGGTGGAGCAATGCTAGAAGCCACGTGCCTTCGCGTGACCTGCCAAGTTCCTGTGTCTGTCCCTGCTGCCCAGCCGGAGGGCCCGGGGCAGCGACATAGATGTGAGCCGCGATGGCGGAATTAATGCCCGGGGCTTCACACTTCATTGCAGCCCCCGTGAATGGCACTATTGTGCTGGGACAGAGAGAGGGCGATGCAGGGGATTAAACGGCAGCTCCCTCCATAGCCAGCCAGCCAGTGCTGGCACCTGAGAGACCCGGGCTGGGGGGTGTCGGGGGGGGTGTCTGTCAGCACAGTGAGGTTCCATTGAACAATCACAGCAAACTAGAGCCCTAAGGAAAACGTTAGCGCCCATCCCCTCCAGGGGCTACCCATCTGGGAGCGACAGCGTTTTAACTTCTGGCAGACGATTCTCTGTCAGGGGGCGGAGGGGGGTTCAGCTACCCTGCATGTCAAGTGCCAGCCCAGGGTGCTGTTCAGTGATCAAGCACATGTCATTAGCAGCTGTGGCACGGAGGGCGGTCAGACTGGGCCTTATTTTAAGTATAAGACCACGGGCCCTGCTGTCTTCTGCTGTCCTAAGTATTTGCGCCAGGGGTGGGGAACCTTTTTTGGGCAGGGGCCACTGACCCACTGAAAAATCAGTTGGGGGCTGCACACAAGTGAGAAGCAGAAAAAACCCTCAGTGTGGCCCCCGACTGAGAAGCTGAAAGACACTCCACACATTCTCCTCGCTGGAGGGCCCAAGCTTGTAGATTTTGTGGGCCCTGCAGTGCTGGTGGGGGGCAGAGACCCTGAGCCTCGGGGATCTCCGCATCCGGCCCCCAGGCCTGAGGTCCCCCACCCCTGATTTATACATGTTCATTGCCACGGGATCAGAACATCTGCCCACCTGCTGATACTGACGCTGTCACATGTCACTGTGTGACCCGGTAGGAATAATGAAGTGAGTAGTTCTTAGCTAGCACTTTTTCATGGGTGGAACCCAAAGAAAGGAGGTGTCAGTGTTATCCCCATGGGACACTGAGGCACAGAGCAATCCAGTGGCTTGCCCAAGGTTACCCATCGGGCTGGTGATGGAACGAGGGATACGCACCGGCTACGTCTACATTGGCATGATTTTCCGGAAATGCTTTTAACGAAGAAGTTTTCCGTTAAAAGCATTTGCGGAAAAGAGCGTCTAGATTGGCAGGACACTTTTCCACAAAAGCACTTTTTGCAGAAACGCGGCCGTGGCCAATCTAAATGCGTTTTTCTGCAAAAAAGCCCCAATCGCCATTTTCACCATCGGGGCTTTTTTGCGCAAAACAAATCTGACCTGTCTACACTGGCCCTTTGGTGCAAAAGTTTTGCACAAAAGGGACTTTTGCCCGAACGGGAGCAGCATAGTATTTCCGCAAAAAGCACCGATTTCTTACAGTAGGAAGTCAGTGCTTTTGCAGAAATTCAAGCGGCCAGTGTAGACAGCTGGCAAGTTTTTCCAGAAAAGCAGC